TTGGCTATTATGAATTGAGCTGCAGTGAATAATCTGGTGCAAGTATCTTTTTTATAAAGTGATTTTTGGTCTTTTGGATATACACCCAGTAAAGGAATTGTAGGATCCCATGGCAGGTCTACTTTTAGATCCCTGAGTGTTCTCCATATTTCTTTCCAAAAGGGATGTATTAGCTTGCACTCCCGTGAGCAGTGCAGAAGGGTTCCCTTTTCTCCACATCCATGCCAACATCTGTGCTTGTGGGATTTTGTTATGTGAGCCAGTCTTACGGGAGTTAGATGATAATCTCAAAGTGGTTTTGATTTGCATTTCTCTGATGATTGAAGATGATGAGCATTTTTTCATGTGTCTGTAGGACATATGCCTATCTTCAGAGAAGCTTCTGTTCAAGTCCCTTGCCCACAATGAAATGGGATTACTTGTTTTTTTCTTATTAATAAGTTTGAGTTCTCTGTGGATTCTGAGTATCACACTTTTGTCAGAAGCATAACCTGCAAATATCCTCTCCCATTCTGAGGGCTGTCTGCTTGCTTTACTTACTGTGTTATTGGCTGTGCAGAAGCTTTGTAGTTTGATCAGATCCCAGTAATGTATTTTTGGTGTTGCATCAATTGCCCAGGGTGGGGGGGGGGTCTTCCTCATAATGTGTTCTCCCAGGCCAATTTCTTCAAGTGTTTCTCCTGCACACTCTCTAAGAATCTTTATAGTTTCATGTCTTAAGTTTAAATCTTTTATCCAGTGAGAGTCAATTTTTGTTAATGGTGAAAGGTGTGGGTCCAGTTTTAGTCTTATACATGTCACCAGCCGGTTCTTCCAGCACCATTTATTAAACAGGGAATTTTTTCTCCAATTTATATTTTTGATAAGTTTATCAAAGATCAGATGACGATAAGTGTCTGGGTTCATCTCTTGGTTCTCAATTCTGTTCCATACATCTACCTCTCTATTTTTGTGCCAATACCATGCTGTTTTGATCACTATAGATTTATAGTATAGTTTGAAGTCTGGTAGCATGATTCCTTCTGATTTGTTTTACTTTTGCAGTTTTTGGCCAGGGCTGGGTTTGAACCCACCATCTCCAGCATATGGGGCTGGCACCCTACTCGTTGGACCTATAGGTGCCGCCCCCTCCTGATTTGTTTTTATTTCTGAGTAATGTGTTGGCTTTTTGAGTTTTTTTCTGGTTCCATATAAAATGAAGTACTATTTTTTCCAGATCTTTAAAGTGTGATGGTGGTGCTTTGATAGGGATTGCATTAAATTTGTAAATGCTTTGGGTAGCATGGACATTTTAACAATGTTGATTCTTCCTAGCCATTGGCATGGTAAGTTTTTCTATTTGTTAACATCTTCAGCTATTTCTTTTCTCAGAGTTTCATAATTCTCTTTATAGAGATCTCTCACGTCCTTTGTTAGGTAAATTCCCAAATATTTCATCTTCTTTGACACAAACGTAAAGGGAATAGAGTCCTTGACTGTTTTTTCGGTTTGACTATTATAGGTGTATATAAAAACTACTGATTTGTGAGTATTGATTTTGTATCCTGAGATGCTACTGTATTCCTTAATCACTTCTAAGAGTTTTGTGGTTGAGTCCCTGGGGTTTTCCAGGTATAAAATCATATCTTCTGGGAGGAGTGAAAGTGTGATCTCCTCTGACCCTATTTGTTAGCCTTGATCACCTTCTCTTGCCTGATTGCTATGGCTAAGACTTCCATTGCAGTGTTAAAAAGCAGTGGAGATAATGGGTAACCTTGCCTGTTCCTGATCTGAGTGGAAATGTTTTCACTTTTACTCCATTCAATATGATATTGGCTCTGACTTTGCTGTGGATGGTCTTATGATATGGAATGCTTCAGGAATTTGCATGTCATCCTTGTGCAGGGGCCATGCTAACCTTCTCCGTATTGTTCCAATTTTAGCATATGTGCTGCCCAAGCGAGCACTGTGTCTATTATTTCCATGTGTCAATTATAGTATGTACCAAAGTACATCAAAAATAAATACCTCGGCATTCAAGTTGTTACTTTTGCACCACCTAAAGTCACTGCAGGAATTGGTGTGTGTGTTGCTTTACGAATCCTGTCTCTGCATATTATTGGTTGCACACTAAAGCCTTCATGCTCTTTGTTGCATTTATCAGCTTGAAGGTGCATGGGAGTGGTGGAATCCTGATTTACTGTCTAGCGCAGGAGCCAACAAACTTCTTTTCTGTAAAGGGCGGTTCTTTGTGCCCTATACCAGTCGGTGGCTTTGTTGGACTAGCCACTGTTCTGATTTCTAACAACATGGGTCGGTTTTGGCCTGTGTGTTGAACTGTCGTTACAAAATGAATCTGCACAGATTGTTTTCTTGCAAATGGCTTGTATGTGGCTACTTCTGTTGAGTTTGTGAGATTCACCCCTGTTTTGTGTAGAGCAGCAGTCTGTTCGGGTTCACATTTGATAGTGTACCCATTTTACTCTTTTTTTTTTTTTTTTTTGACAGAGTCTCACTGTGTCACCCTCGGTAGAGTGCCATCGCGTCACAGCTAATAGGAACCTCAAACTCTTGGGCTTAAGCATTCTCTTGCCTCAGCCTTCCAAGTACCTGGGACTACAGGTGCCCGCCACAATACCTGGCTAGTTTTTTGTTGTAGTGTTACTGTTCTGTTGTTTGGTAGGCCCAGGCCAGGTTCAGATCCACCAACCGCGGTATATGTGGCTGATGCCCTAGCTGCTGAGCTACAGGTGCCGAGCCCCATTCTACTCTTGAAGGGCACTTGTGCTGCTTTTAGTTGCTGTCAGTTATAAAGAGTGCTACTGGGAATGTCTTAAATGTGTCTTTTTGGTGCACATACTTACCCATTTTTATTGGGGTTATACCTAGGAGTATAATTGCTAGATTATAAATTATGCATGTATTCAGTTTGAGTTTATACTGCCAAATAGTTTTCCGGAGTGATTCCAGCAGTTTTCGCCACCTCCAGCAGTATTCCAGATTTCCAGTTGCTCCATACCACCCTTAGTATTTGGTGTTATCTGTTGTTTCATTTTAGCTGTCTTGTTGGGTGTGCACTTTACTTTTTTTGTTTGTTTTTGTTGGGACCAGGAGGACTTGGTAACTTTTTTTTTTAAAAAGGTATTTAGAAATCGTTTCACATGTTTTACATGTAACTTGGATCTTCACAGCAACCCTGTGAGGCAGGACAGAAATTATGGTAAATCTTTGTGTGATGAGTTAGGCTGAGAGAGATTATTTGGTTTGTTGGAGACCCACAACTGATAGTGTGGCAGGACAGAGACTTACCTCAAGTTCTCTGACACCAAGTCCTGTTTTTAATCATTGTCTTCCTTGTCTGTGATATGTGTCCATATTTTAATCTATCTGTAGATACCTGTGTTTCAAGATACATGTTTGAAAAGTGGGACTGAATCTCAGAACGTGCTCTCCACAGCTCTCTGTGGCACTGTTAGTTCTTAGTAAATGTTCAAAGTAAATGTTTGTGTTTTTTCTGTGCTCATATAAATTGTATGTTTGTGGAGATGACAAATAGAATAATGGCAGCAGGCAGAACAAGAAATTATTCTATCTACAGAAAATTATTTGTTTGCATTGTCAAAGGAAGCATTATAAATGCCATATGCTGCCAGATCACAGAGGCCTTGGAATTCACAGTGTTCTAGCTAGAAGGTGGCACTGTAGACACTTGGGGTTTTATTTTGTTATAATTTAGTGTACTGTAGTTCCGTTAAGTTTGGATAATGTATATGTAGGGCCTGACTGTCTATCTACCCAAGTTAAAGTCTTCCTGTAGAAATAAAAAATTATAGGTAATAAAGCAAATATTTAAAAGGCTAATGTTCTTTCTAAAAATCATGAGAGAGCCTGTGGTGATGGGAAGGATGAAAAGACCACACAGATATACCGAAGAAAAAAAAGATAAATAAAAAAATATTAAGAGGACACATAATAAGGGAGAAATAGATCAAATTTGTGTAGGTAACTCTGAGATGGAGGGCATGAGGCAGTCAGACTGGAAGTAGGAAGGAGAGAAATTGATCTTGGAAGCTTCAGAAACTAAGAGAGACTAACAAAGTCAGGAAGGCTTGTCTGTCTTCAAAAGTTAGCACGTGCAAAGCTGACCAACTCCCCACACTGACTGACCTCCTTAAGTTTTGACCTAATTTTCGCAGACCAGACAGACCAGACATGCTACACCTATGCAGTAGGCCCAGTTCCTTCTGGTGACCTCCTCCACATGTTGACCAATGTGTCACAGTCCCTTCGGGGGGCAGCTTGGAGAAGAGCTGCTGTCTTTGTTAGGCACACCTTACGTGCCAGGCTTTGTGAAGCAGAAAGCGCTCCTGGGCCCTAACACTCAGAGTTTTACCTGGTAAAGTCCAGCTGTGATAACCCTGAATGCTGACAGGAGTGGGAGGAGCAGTAGAGAACAGGAGAAAAGAAAGTAGAAGGGAGTTTACAGAAGTAAACAGGAGGGTGCTGTCAGACTCCCAGAGAGGTTGTGGAGGCCAAGAGGGGGGTCAGGATGGGAGAGTGGGAGCAGCCTGTGGCCTGGGTGGGGGTTGGGTGGCAGAGGGGTGCATGATGAGTGCAGAGAGGAAGGAGAGATTTTTATTCAAAATATAAAGATAAAACATTTGAGGGTTGGTGCCATTACTCTAGGAACTGAAACGGATATATCTCTCATTTTGATAATAAAAATGCTTCATTAGAATTTATCAATAACAGATCTTAGATGCACAGGGCGTCAGAGTTTGTCCTGAGAAACAAATTTCAGTGAAATCTATGGGGTGCAGTACATGTAGTAGGTTTTATCCATCTTGGCATCCTATCCTAGAGGGACATTTTGTGTTAAGAGATTGCCTAGGGTCTTTAGATAGAGATGAAAGAAAGCCTTTTCCATTAGGCTTCAGCTGGTTATCATGATTTGCTGGTCCTGATGTGAGAGAGCGGTTTTTAAGATCGCTTGTCTGATCCATTTGGGGAATAGTGTGACTATGGAGGAGGGCGTGTGCTGGGCCATGGGACAGTGGCTTGGTGGACGTTTGTATCAGGGAGCATTCTTTTATTCATTCTGCACAACCAGGAGGTAAGCTTTATTATATGGGGGATAGGAGAGGGACAGCTATTACTGTATTCTGTTGGAATTTTTATTTATGTAAAGAGTTATATTGATTTTGAAACCAATATCCAAATTACTTTTTCTGAAGACAAAGTGCTCAGACATTTTCTGGTGATTGTATCCTACAATCAGTTTTTGTTTAATTTGATAGTAAATTTAGAGTTCTTGGTAGCAGAAAGGGTGAATAGTTGAAGCAAATGGTAGTCCTATTTCTATCGTAAGGTGACTGCTTCGGTAAACTACCTTAGGCGTCTGCATGTGCGTCCCCCTTACACCTGTGAAATCTCATGATGCTTAACCCCTGTCTTCTTGGGAAGCAGAAGCACAGAGCTGAAAATTAATGTTTGGGATGAGCTCTTAGATCTCAGAATGGCTAAATGTAGGTAGCTTTGTGCGTATTTTGCGTGTGTGGCAGGTAGTACGTAATCTGAATTGGGAGACAGGAATGTTTCCCAAAAATCTCATGTGAAGTTCTTGTTTTAGCTGTTTTTAAATGTTCAACAGTCCTCTTGAGGGCTGTCCTGTTAAGAGGCTGCCATGTATTTGATTGTATCTATCTTAGATCACTAGCCCCCTGAGGAATCCGATGGCCTCTTGGCTGCAGACATCTCTGGAACGTGCAGGCACATGGCCTGTACATGCACTTTCAGCAGGGTCCGTTATTTCCTGCAGCCCACCTGTGACCTCTCTCGGTTGTCAGCCTCACCTAAGGATGTGTTAATCTAGATTTTTTCTGAACAGCACATACTCTGGGGACCAGACGTTTGAATCAACTTGAAAACATGATGGAGGGAGGGGTTAATTTTGAGGCCTAAGACTCTGTCTAGAAAAAGCCAACTGAACAGAAGGAAAGCAAAGGAGGTGCAGGCAGTAGAGGCCAGAGGGCGGTTGGACAGGGTGGGCCTTCCCCAGCAGGGGAGCACTGCCTGCACACAGCCCAGATCCCCAGCAGAGGGAGAGTCTAGAAAGGCTGTGGATTGCCAAGTTGTTAAGCTCAATATGGACACTAAAATGTGTTTCTTTACACTTTACATATTATAAACAATGTTTTAAGGTTGTCTTTGAACCAAATTAATATTGTATTATCATTGTTAGAAAAAAGGGACCTACTGACAAGTAATTTGTTATATTTTTGAGCTTTCTTAAGGAGTTCTGCTTTCTTCAGATAAAAAACTTTTTCTGGAAAAACTTTTAATTTATAGGGAAAACAATGTCAGCTTTTCAATTTTTTTTTTTTTTTTTTGAGACAAGAGTCTCAGTTTGTCACCTTGGGTAGAATGTCCTGGCGTTGTAGATCACAGGAACCTTAAATTCTTGGGCTCAAGAGATCCTCTTGCCTCAGCCTCCCAAGTAGCTGGGACTATAAGCCCTCACCACAACGCCCAGCTAATTTTTAGAGATAGGGTCTTGCTCTTGCTTTGGCTGGTCTTAAACTCCTGAGCTCAATAGATCTACCTGCCTCAGCCTCCCAGAGTGCTGGGATTGTAGGTGTGAGCCACCATGCCTGGTTAGCTTTTTGATTTTAAATGTAAAGTTCCATGTTTCAGGATTATCTATCAATTGCAATAAATTAAGTTCTGTCTTATTTTGGGGGAACATATTAAGTAGTTTAAACATAGAGACTGTGAGATTTGTTTTATTCTGCATCCTGACATAACTTTTTAATTTTGCATTTTAGAAATTAGATTAAAGAACACCTTTATGACTGCATTCAGCCTTTAGGGTTAGAGCACTTGCTAGTGAGTTCTCAAAACACAGTTTTTAACAGATATTTTTCTTGTCCCTTCCTGGCCCTCAGATCATTTCTTACCGTACTATAAACTTTCTCAAAGGGAATAGCATATCACTTGATAGGATCTAGCAATCATTTTGTTTGGTCTGGGGAATCGTAATTTTTGCTATTAGTTTCAGTGCAGAAAAGTTGAAAGTACTGTCTTTGAACAGATTGTGAATGTGGTTATTGTGTGTTTTTTTTTCTTAGTGGATTAATATTTGTTATATATGAAGCTTCAGTCTTTTGAATTACATTAGTACTTCTTGAACCTGGAATTTGCCTTTTCTGGAGGACGTGCTGTGGTGGTGTGAAGCTGCTGCTCTTGCATCTGGGCCACACCTCCCCTTCCCCTGGCTGTCACATTCCTCCTGGGCCAGGAGACTTTTGACAAAAATTAGAACGACAGAGTGTTTTCTCAAAGCAGAGATTTAAAAGTTTATAGAAAATTTACCATGTGGGCTTTTGAGAAGTAGGATCTTTTTTGAGTTACTTGGGTCTTAAGTTTAACCTAACCCAGCCTTCTCTCAAACTTTTAATGTTAATGTTTTTGTCTCAGATTTGATAGTAAGAATTATATGGAACACATTTCTAGTCTTTGTATAGATAAGGTGTATTATATATTTATGTCCAAATTACAAGATTTGGAGTATATTTACTTATTTTAAAGAATTGTAGAGATTTAGGACATCTTTGTTTTATGACATTCCTCAGTTTTGTGATTATACGTCTTTTTTTTTTTTTTTTTTAATGATTAGTCTTATTTGCAAGTATTTTTAAGATGAAAGCCATTTCTCTGGGTGGGTTTACAGAAACGCTCTGTAAAACTGAGGATTGTCCAGGACATTGCAGCCCCTTCTCTTCCTAAGTTAGGGCTGTGAGAGAACAAGGCTTTTTCTTGCTAATTGTCTTGTTTTGTGGCAGTTTTAGTAGATAGCTTGATTATGAATTAGCATTTAAATGCTTCAGTGTGGATTACTGATGGACTCAGAGCAGTTTAGAGGAGACACACCTCCCTTGTTTGTAATGACTTTGAAACAATGTTAAAGAGGTTTGCAAGGTTTAAGGTACATCCTGGTTTATATGTGTGGGTCTATCTGTCAAGCCTCAGGAATTTAGTCTCAGGTTTGTAAGAATTTTACTAACCAGAGCCAATAAAATTCTGTTGTCCCAGTTTCACCATCTGAATGCTAATTTTAGAAGAAAGCATGACCATTTTAAACATTCAGTCTATCATTGATTTTGTCTAAAATCTCTCATAAATCTCTGACACATCTGGTTTTTAAACAATAGCCAAATAATTTAGTTTTATTTCTATGATAAGAATAGAGCTGGTATTTATTGTTTATACTTATGTGATTTTATAGATGGAGTTTTAACATTGAATGCGGAGAACTCTAATTATGCCTATCCAGGCCCAAACTTCCATAAATGTGAAATCTGTCTGCTGTCTTTCCCCAAAGAATCCCAGTTTCAACGCCACATGAGGGACCACGAGCGCAATGACAAGGTATGTATGTTCAGGAAAGGGGCCGGGAGCACGAGCATTGACACTGGAGGTATTGTAAAAATCAACACTTACAGCCAAATATTTTCCTATCATTTAGGTCCTAAGTTGTAGAACGTTTCCTATTGTACCAGTGACTATTTTGGCATTTTTGCAGTTGCAGTTGTAGTCCCAGCTATCACCAGGTGGAGAGAGCGAGAGCTCACCCCCCACTCCGGTCACCTGTGGAGGTGGAGAGAGAGCACCCAAGGGCCCCTGTGGATTTACCAGGGGACAAAGAAATGTTTTAGAAATGTGGCTTTTTAAAATAGTTTCTATTTCCTGTATGATTGAGCAGAGTTGGTATATTTTGAAGTATTTTTCTGCAGTAGGGACTTTTACCCTTCAGTGGCTTTGCATTTTACAGTGGTGTTCTGTATCTCAGCAGGAAGCAATGCTGTCTTTGGTGGAGATTTGAACCCAGTTTTGCATTTGTAGTGTCTCTCGTGGGATATCAAGAATTTTAGTGTCTTTATGGAATAATTTGCCTGATAGATGGAAAATGCAGTTAAAACTAGAATTAAAGTAGTGGTTGTTGACTTTTCTCTAGGTAGGAAAATGTAAGCCATGAATCATTTCAGGCCAGAAAGATACCAGGGATCTTCCCACTAAAGAAAAGGGGTTTAGAGCACGTGAGATGATGCTTTAAGTACAGGATGTAGCACAGACGCTAATCTGGTGTCTAATGCCACTGGCATTATTGTCTCAAGCTGACTAGTGCAGACACCAGTGCCCACTGGCATTGTTTCCTCAAGCTGACTGTCTGCAGATACTTTCTCCTTCAATACTTCAGAGAGGAGCTGGGGGTTACCTTACCTTCCTATAAGCGGAAGAAAACCTTCTGTTCTGGGAAAATTTTAGACCGAGATGAGCAACTCTCTTAAAACCTAGTAAAAATTGATGTGATTACTTTATTTGAAGTGATTTTGTTTGTAACAGTGGAGTTGGTCAGAAATAGAAGGGAAAAAGTCCAGCTTACTAAGTTGAAGTTTCTTACATACACTTTCCTAGAGACCACAGCTGATACATTTATATGCATCATTTCTTATTAGAAATATTTTCTACATGTTTGCGTTTTCATTCTTAGAATCCTTTGAGAAGTTCATTTTGCATTTATTGACTTCGTGTCTGGAAGAGACTTCAGAGGTTCTTTCGTATCTGTAGATTATGGTACTTACTGATATTTTTATAACATTTATTGAATAGTGTCTGTGGAAAGATTATATTTTAGTGGCTTCCTTACTTTTCTTTACTTTTCTTTTCAAATAGCCACATCGATGTGACCAGTGCCCCCAAACGTTTAACGTTGAGTTCAACCTGACACTTCATAAATGTACCCACAACGGGGAAGATCCTACCTGCCCTGTGTGTAACAAGAAATTCTCCAGAGTGGCTAGTCTCAAAGCGCATATTATGCTACATGAGAAGGAAGAGGTAATTATCATTTTGCATATACTTTGTTAACTGGTTGTTCAATTGCATCTAGTGATTAGGAGGATTTTAGCTATAAAGTGGTTTTAAAGGCCTTTGGTCTAGATTTTTAGGAGCTAATTATCATTAAATTTGCCTTGACTAGTCTCCAGTTCAATGATAAAAATGTTTTATCATGGTTAATACCTTAGGATAGAGACATTTTAATATGGCCACATTGCAGAGCCCCCCCTTCCCCTTTTTTAAAAAAAGAAATTAACTTTTTGTAGGGTTCTTCAGGGCCAAAAGTAACTTTTCTGCTTCTGAAGATAGAAGGAAAATTTCCGTGTTTGGCTGTGTCCTCTGACCCTAGGAAGTCTGAGAGAAGAAGAGGAATCACTGTGGTTCACAGCACATCAGTCCCCCAAGGTGAAGGTTCCAGCAGAGGTGCCGGCTGAGTTCTAGGGACAACCCCAAAGGTGATAGGGCCACAGTGCTGGGGGCGGGTGGGGCTGAGCTGAAGTGCACATGGCTTTTGCTTTAAAAATGTGCTCTTCCTGCTTGCTACCCTTCTTAGGAAAACACAAAAGTAAGAAGGAGAAAATAAAAGTCATCTCTAATTCTGAGATAATGCTGGTCGCTATTCGATGTATTTCCTTCCTAAGACAGGAAAACAGGTAGATTGTTTAAATTGTATGTACAGATGGTCCTTGATTTAGGCTGGTGTGAAAATGATATGTGTTTGGTAGTGGTGTTGCTTCTCCTGTGATGCTGAGGAAGCCCAGCCCCCTCTGGCCAGGCATTTGTGGCTTACACTATTTTTAGTTTGCAGGGGATTTATCAGGACTTAATCCCATCCTAAATCAAAGAGAATCTGTATAAAATTTATATCCTAAAATTGAATTCATACTTTCTGCATAGGTTTGGATATTCTTTTTATAAGTGACTTTAATTTTAAAATAATTTATTTTTATCTTTTAAAATCTTATATACATAATTCATGTTTATTTTGGAAAGAGTTAGAAACAAAAGTAACATTAAAAGTACCCATAACGACTTATGCCTATGACCCCAGCACTTTAGAAAGCCAAGGTGGGAGGATTGCTTGAAGCCAGGAGCCTGGACAATATAGCAAGATCCTATCTCTACACAGAATACTTGTAGTGGAGTTTAAAAAGGTTGAACTCATAGGAACAGAGTTAAATAGTGTTACCAGAGGCTGAGGGGGGGAGGATAGGGAGGTCAGAGGCTGAAGTGTCTCTTTTGGACTGGAGAAATAAGGGCAAGAGCTCTGTTATACTGCAGGGTAGAAGCACAGCTAATAACAATGCATCCTATGTTTGAAATTTGCTAAGAGGGTAGATTTTGAGTGTTCTCACTACAAAAAAATATTTTGGTTAGTAATGTATATGTTAAATAGGTTGATTTAGCCATTTCACAATGTATACATATGGTATATGTATATCAAAACATCATGGTATACGCCCACCATAAATATATATATATAACTTTTACTTGTCAATTAAAATATAATTAATTGATATTTTGTAATATGGTCAACTCTCACTGGGGTTAGGTGATATGTCAGGGTGGTTTTGATTTGTATTTCTTTGATAATTAGAGATCATGAAAAATTTATGAAGCATTCATAATCATACTATTTCAGACTTTAAATACATGCTTTCCATGTGTGCTTCTATGTTTAAAATATTTTTAAAATACAGAAATAGGATTATGCTACTGTATAGACTGCCTTTTTCCCATACTACAGAGAGCACCAAAAAAATTTTAATAGTCACATTTGACTTCTGCAATTACAAGAGATATAAGATATATTATACTGTGTAAGGTAACAAATGTTATTGGCATATGTCAAGTATTATAATTTTAATAGTTTATTCATTTCCTAAAGTGTGTATACATTTTTGGCCCCCTCTGTATACTATAAATATGTCCTCCTTCTTCTCACTTGTTATTATGAGTGTTTTCTCATTTCAATATTTTATTTTATTGATTGATTGATTGTTGAGGATTTGTTGAGGGTACAGATAACCAGTTTACACAGTTTGCATTTGTTATGTTAACGTCCCTCTGATAATTGTGTCGCTCTTCCAAGAGGTTGTGTGACACACTCTGACCCCCTCTCCCTTCTCCCTCCATCCCTCTCCCCACTCCTTTCCCACACCCCTCCCCATGTACTACGCCATCAATTGTCCTCATACCAGAGTTCAGTACTTTGGATTCTTGCTTCTTCATTCTGTGTTGCTTTACTAAAAAGAATGTGTTTCAGCTCTATCCAGGTTAATGCAAAAGATGTAAAGTCTCCATCTTTTTTAGTGTTTGAATAGTATTCCATGGTATACATATACCACAGCTTGTTAATCCATTCCTGGGTTGGTGGGCATTTAGGTTGTTTATACATTTTGGCAGTTGTAATTGAGCTGCAATAAACAGTGTAGTGCAAGTGTCCTTATGGTAAAAGGATTTCTTTTCTTCTAGGTAGTGAGATTGCAGAATGAAATAGTTTTGAGTTTTTTGAGGATTCTCCTTACTTCCTTCCAAAAAGGTTGTATTAGTTTGCAGTTCACATCCATGCCAGCATCTGCAGCTTTGATATTTTGTAATAGGGGCAACTCTCACTGGGGTTAGTTGATATGTCAGGGTGGTTTTGATTTGTATTTCTCTGATAATTAGAGATTATGAGCATTTTTCATGTGTTTGTTAGCCATTTGTCTGTCTTCTTTAGAGAAGGTTCTATTTATCTCTGTCTCCCATTGATCTAAAGGATTGTTGGCTTTTTTATGTTGATTAATTTGAGTTCTCTGTAGATCCTAGTTATTAAGCTTTTGTCCAATTCATAATATGCAAATACCTTTTTCCATTCTGATGGTTGTCTATTTGCTTTAGTCTCCTTAACTGTACAGAAGCTATTCAGTTTAATTAAGTCCCATTTTTTAATTTTTGTTATTATTGCAATTGCCACTGACGCCATCTTCATAAAGTCTTTACCCCTCTGATGACTTCAGGTGCTTTCCCTGCATTTTCTTTGAGGATTTTTATTGTTTCATCCCTTAGATTTAAATTTTTTATCCATCTGAATCAATTTTAGCGAGTGGAGAAAGGTGCAGGTCTAGTTTTTTAAATGTGGTTATCCAGTTCTTTGAGCACCATTTATTCTTTCCCCCAGTGTATGTTCTTGTGTAGCTTATCAAAGATTAGGTAGTTGTAAAATGTTAGTTCCATCTCATGGCTTTCTATTTGTTCCAAAAGTCAATGCCTCTATTTTTGTGCCAGTGCCATGCTGTTTTGATCACTATGGCCTTGTAGTACAGCCTAAAATCTGGTAGGCTAATGCCCCTGGCTTTGTTTTTATTCCTAAGAGCCGCCTTGGCTATACAGGGTTTTTTCTGGCTCCATACAAAATGAAGAATTATTTTTTTCTAAATCTTGAAAGTATGATGCTGGTATTTTAATAGGGATTACATTGTGCTGTGGCGTCACAGCTCACAGCAACCTCAAATTCTTGGTGTTAAGCAGTTCTCTTCCCTTGGTCTCCCAAGTAGCTGGGACTACAGGTGCCTGCCACATGCCCAGCTGTTTTCTCATTATAGTTGTTATTGTTGTTTGGCAGGCCTAGGCCAGGTTCGAACCCTCTAGCCCCAGTATATATGGCTGTTGCCCTAGCCACTGAGCTACAGGCACCGAACCTTTTCCTGGTTTTTGTATCAGGGTGATACTTGCTTTGTAGAATGTGTTGGGGAAGATTCCTTCCTTCTCAGTTTTTTGGAATAATTTTGTAGTGTGGGTATAAGCTCTTCTTTGAAGATTTGATAGAATTCTGGTGTGAAGCCATCTGGACCAGGGCTTTTTTTGGTTGGCTTATTTTTTGTTGTTTTTATTGTTTCCTTAGTCTCAGTTATTGAAATTGGTCTGTTCAAGAGATCTGTTTCTTCTTGGTTAAGTCTAGGGAGAGGGTAGGATTCCAGATATTGATCCATTTCCTCCACATTGTCAAATTTCTGGGGCATAGAATTTATTGTAGTACTCAGAGATGACCTCTTGTATCTCTGTGGCATCTGTTGTTATTTCTCCTTTATCATTTCTGATTGAGGTTATTAGATATTTTGCTTTTCTGTTTCTAAGTAATTTGGCCAAAGGTTTATCAATTTTATTTAGTTTTTTGAAAAGCTAACTTTTTGTTTTGTTAATTTTTGAATGATTCTTTTGTTTTCAATTTCATCCATCTCTGATTTAATTTTGGTTATTTCTTTTCTTCTGCTGGGTTTGGGATTAGATTGCTCTTTTCCAATTTTATAAGATGGTTCATGAGCTTGATGATGTGCTTTCTTTCTGTTTTTCAAATGTAGGCATCTAAAGTGACAAATTTCCCTCTTAAGACTGCTTTTGCTGTATCTTACAGGTTTTGGTAACTTGTGTCTTCATTGTTGTTATGCTTGAGGAATTTAATGATTTCCTCTTTTATCTCTTCCTGAATCCAACTGTCATTCAGAATAAGGTTATTTAATTTCCAGCTCTTTGTGAGGGGATGAATGTTTTTGTTGGGAGTTGAGTTCTATCTTTATTGCCTTGTTTTCTGAGAAGATACAAGGTGTAATTTCTATTCTTTTAATTTTGCTGAAGTTTGATTTATATCCTAGGATGTGGTCGATTTTGGAGTACGTACTATAGGCTGACAAGAAAAATATATATTCATTAGCTTTGGGATAGTGTGTTCTGTATGTGTTTGTTAATCCCACACTTAAGAGTCACACTTAAGTCCTTTGCATCTTTGTTTGTTTCAGTTTAGGGGATCTGTCTAGTTCCGTTGGAAGGGTGTTAAAGTCCCCAGTACTGTGGTGTTATGGGGTATCATATTGCTCAGAGCCATCAATGTCTGTTTCATAAATCTGGGAGCATTTAAGTTGGGTGCATAAATATTTAAAATTGAAATTTCTTCTTGTTGTGTTGTTCTTTTTTTTAGAGACAGAGTCTTACCTTATTGTCCTCGGTAGAGTGCTGTGGTG